TATATACATATATAAAATCTCCTGTCATAAGCTAATAGCTTCAGAGTAGCTATTTCAACAAAATTATTTTGATATTAATCCATGAATTCCTTTTAGTTAAATTTCATTGGTGGGAACTAAAGTCCTTATGTAGAGGGTGTGACTGATGCCAAAACCAGGATGGGGAGAAAACGATGATGGTCCGGAGGAAGTCCGATATTCACTCACTCAATCTAGAAGAGGCTGACAGGGAACGTGGAGGATGAATGAGGGTAGAGATGGAAGCAGGTACTTCACATGAGGCGCAAGCCCCATGAGAAACAGCGGAGCCACTGGAAATACCTAGAGCAGAAGACAACGCGTCTACACTTAGATAAGGCCTTTCCGTAGTCTTTTGAGACAAGGTCTCCCTGTTGCCCCAGCGGCCTGGAACTCGCTAAGTAGATCATGGTGACCTCTGATTACAGAGGTCCATCTCCTTTGCCTCTGGAGTACTGGGCTTAAAGACATGCACCACGATGCCGGGGTAGAAAAGGCCTTTTATTACACTATTTTTACTACTTTTTCTGAAGTAATGGCTTTTATTCCTTTGTATTATTTTCTGCTTCTCTTTGCCAGTCTTCCAGCCAAGCATTGGATTCTCCTGCTCTAGCAGGGTACATCTCAATCTCCCTTCCTCCCTCACCGTGCAACTTCCTCCCTTGTCATTTGATTCCGTACCTTGAGGCTTATCCATTATTCAGCAGATACTTCCATCTCTCCTAACCTTTTTTGTTTTGGGGTGAGGGGCGATTTCTGTCATCTTCTGTGCCATTCTCCCAGGTTTCCACAGTCACACTTCCCTGAACCCCTTTCCTCCCACAGTTCTGCCCTCTACCTTTACCATCATTTGGAACCGTAGTTACCTCTGCACCTCCATTTCAGACGCTTACTCCTTCACTGTAATACTGAATACATCCAATCAAATGCAGGAGTCTTGTTCCTAGCAGGACCTTCATATTTAACTACGTCTTTACCTTCTTTTGTGTTCTCTAATGAGAACCTTCATGATGTCTTTGCTTGCTTACCAGATTTATAGCGTTTTAGCAATTAGTAAACATTCCACAATATAAAAACTAAGCACTTTTCCTTCTGTATTACTCATGGTTCTCTGTAGACAGAACAATTGGGTTTATTGTGTTGACTCACAGGACCAGTAAGACTGAAAAGTACCACATTGATGGTACGTGTGCTGGACAGCTAAGGGAAGTGACCACAGAGCTCAGTCTGAGAAGGCAGAAGCCTCAAAACAGGGAAGGCTGATAATTCAGTGCCTGGTCCCAAGAACCCTCAGAATGCCATTGGGGAAGTGCCAGAATGCAGAGTTCAAAGCACCTGGACACAAACCATGTCTACTTGGGAGAGAACAAGAGAGAGAGGGTTTTCCTTTCTTGTGCTGTATCTACCTGGGTCTCCAGGCAACTGTCTGGGGGTTGCTGATGGTCAAGGCAGGTAGTCCCCACTGGACTCACTGAACACCATGTCAGTCTTCCCTGGATAAACCCTCATAGAGAGACTTAGAGGTAATGCTCTGTCCTGGATTTTCACTGGCTCAGGGACATACAATATAGTTTTTTGTTGTTTTTTTTGTTTTGTTTTGTTTTACCATGTACTCACTTGGAAAACACATAGCTGTAATTAACTCTGAATCTCCTTACACTTGATCCATACCCATCCTGATAATCTCTGAGAAAAAATAGACAAGTTTATGATAGTTTCACTTTAAATAACCTCGTTTTTCCCAGTATCCCTAAGGTCACCACCTTTGGTTTACTTCTATCATTACTGATTCTCCCTTCCTGGTTCATTTTCTTCTTGTCTGGTAATGTTTATGCTACAAGGTTCAGGAATGTATTCTCTTTTCGAACCAAGCTCTTACTTATTGGGGAAGCTTTCTCAGGCATAAGAATGCTAGTGTGTGTGTGTGTGTGTGTGTGTGTGTGTGTGTGTGTGTGTGTGAAAAATGCTCAAACCCCAGACCTTATTCCTGAATACCAGATTATATCTCTCATTTATCTATCATCTTATCATCTATCTATCAATCATCTTATCATCTATCTATCATCTATCATTATATCATCTATTTATTATCTATCTATATATCTAGCATCTATTATCTATCTATCTAGCATCTATCTGTATATCATCTATTATCTATCTACATATCTATCATCTATTTATTATCTATATCATCTATCTGTGTGTCATCTATTTATCTATTATCTTATCTATATATCTATCATCTATCATCTATAATCTACCTATTTCTATCTATATGTATCTATCATCTATCTATACCTATTCATGTATCTAACTAGCTAGCTATCATCTACTATCTATTATCTATCATCTATCCATTGCTTGTCTATCTGCCTCTCATTAGTGAATAAGCACCTTTTCAGTACTTTCTGTGATGAACTGGAAAATGTGATAAGGCATAATGATTGTCTCAAGAAAAATCATGATGCAATTTGAACTGTCTGCTTTCTTTATATAAAAAAAATCTTATTTGAAAGAAAACTTAGAGACAAAATAAATTTATTCAACCTGAATACTTGGCAGATATTTACACAAAATGCATGAAGTAAACTTTTTCAAGTTTTACTCACTTTAAGGAAAACAGCTAGCAGTGTTTGATACTGATGACTGCACTGGTGCTTTCCAACAAGATTACAATACTGGAAAGCTGATGCTCCCCACTGTGAACTTGACAGCTGCCTTTTGTCCATCAACTACACTGTTGGGATCAGTGGTAATATTTTTTTAAAAATACTCATTTTCTTCATATTATGCAATGAAATAAGTCACTGTTTGAAAAACCTGAGATAGTATTATCTAAATTGTAAAGACAATATGTTAAAATTCATTCCTTCAATCAGCCATGGTTGTACACTCATGTAATTCCAGCACTTGGAAGATCAAGGCAGGAGGATCAGATATTAAAGGCCAACTTCAGTTACGTACTCAAATAACTGAAGCTCAAATCCTGTCTGGACTACATGAGACCCTATCTTTAAAAAAAAGTAATAAATCAGGCATTCATTTAAAATACAAATAAAAGAACCATTCAGAGTAGAAGAAAGATTAATAGATTTTCAATATTAATAATCATAGTTTCAGATTTCTAATTAAATCTGGATCGTAGAAGCTAGTGTTTGAGCAGTAATAAAGAAGAAAATACAAAATTATCTGAAAGGCTATTAATTTCATGAAAAGTGGGTTTGTAGCAAAGTCCAGTTTTGAAGAACAGTGATCAGTTCAAGAGGAGAGGATGGGTGTGCCTAGTTGGACCATTGACTGATTTTTTCTCCCTTAGCCGTTTTCATAGATTCCTCTGATGCTATGCAAACTAGTCTTCAGGCAGGACGATTCCAGATCAGTTCCAGCTCAATTGTTCCAGTCTTGTGTCTGAAGTATGTCCTGTCTTCAGCAATAGGGTTTTACCTTCAAGTTCTTCCAGTTTTTCTCCATTTAGAATGATGTTGGGTTGTGGGTTTGTTGTCTATAACTTTAACTATGCTGAGATATGTTCCCTCCAGTCTAATTCTCTCTAAAGATTTTATCATAAATTCATGTTGGCTTTTATCAAAGGCCTTTTCTGCATCTCCTGAAATGATCATGCAGTTTTTGACTCTGTGCCCATTTATATGATTTATTACATTAATTGACTTATATATATTGAACTGTCCCTGCATCGCTGAAACAATGCCTGCTTGATCATGATGGATGGGTTTTTTTTTTTTTCGATGTGTGTCTGTATGTAGCCTATGAGCATTATGTTGAAAAATTTTCATCTATGTTTATTGGAATATGGGGCTACAGTTTATTTTTTATTGTACCTTTACTTGGTTGTGGTATTAAAGTAATGCTGGCTTTATAGAAGGAGTTTGTGAGTTCTCCCTGTTTCTACCTTTTGAATAATTTAAGTAGTTTTGGTTGTTGATCTTCTTTGAAAGTCTGGTAAAATTCTGCTGTGAATCCATCTGGGCCTGGTCTTTTTCTTATTTGGCAGGTTTTGCATTACTTCTCATGGTCTGTTTAAACTGTTTATGTTGTATACATTGACTTTAGAGATTCATAATTTGTTTGATTTTCAAATTTAATAGAGCATAAGTTTTTAAAGTATTCCCTTATAGTGTTCTGGATCTTTTTGATATCTGCTATGACATCCCCCTTCATCTCTGATTTTGTTGATTTGGATTTACTTTCTTTTCATTAGCTGGGCTTGGGTCTGTCTATCTTGTTATTCTTTTCAAAGAACCAGGAATTAGATTCATTGATTCTTTGTGGCATTTTCTTTGCTTCAGAGTCATTGATTGCTCCACTGATTTTTATTATTTCTTCATATCTGTTGGTCTTTCATTTGGTTTCTTCTTGCTTTTCTAAAATCTTGAGTTGTACCATTAAGTCATCTATTTGTGTTTTTTCTGATTTTTTTAATATAGCAACTCAGAGCTATATATTGCCCTCATAGGACTGGTTTTAATGTGTCCCAGAGGTTTGTGTGTGTGTGTGTGTGTGTGTGTGTGTGTGTGTGTTGTATTATCTTTTTCATTTAGTTCCAGGAATAATTTTCTTTCTTAATAGTGTGTGTGTTGTATTATTATTTTCACTTAGTTTCAGGAATATGTTTATTTCTTTCTTGATTCTTCTTCGACACATTCATCATTCAGGAGTGTGTTGTTTGATCTTCATGAGTTTGTGTAGTTACTAGAGATTCTTTTGCTGTTGATTTTAAGTTTTATTGTGTTGTGGTCTAATACAATACATGAAATTATTTCAGTATTTTTGTATTTGTTAAGGTTTGTTTTGTGCCAATGTATGTGATCTATTTTAGGGAAACTTCCACAGGCTGCTGAAAAGAATGTCTGTTCCTTTGTGCTTAAGTGAAATATTCTGTACATGTCAGTTAAGTTCATTTGTCATATGGTATCATTTAATTCATATGTTTCTTTGTTTAGTCTTTGTCCAGATGACCTGTCTATTGGAGAAAGTGAGGTATTCAAGTCACCTACTATTACTGAGTTGTAGTTCATCTGTATCTTGAAGTCCAATAGTACTGTTTAATGAAAATAGGTGCACAAGACTTTTTCATGATTCTTATGTCTTCTTTTAAAAACACAATTTATTATTTTTATTCCAATTAGGTATTATTTTATTATATTTTATGCATATGAGTGTATTGCCTACATGTACATAAGTGCCCCCGTGTCATGCACTGGTGCAGAGGTCAGAAAAGGGCGACAGATCACCTGGAACTGGCATTACAGATGGTTATTGGCTGCCATGTGGTTGCTGGAAAATGAAGCTGGATTCTCTTCAAGAGTAGCCAGTGCTCTTAACCACTGAGCCATCTCTCCAGCCCATGTTATGTCTTCATAGTTGATTGTTTCCTTGATCAGAGCGTAGTGACCTTCTTTATCTCTTCTGCTTAATTTTAGCATGAAGTCAATTTTTTCTGATATTGGAATAGCAAGTCCTGCTTATTTCTTAGTGTCATTTCCTTGGAATACATTTTTTCCAAACTTTTACCCTCAGGTGGTGCCTGTCTTTAGAGGTAAGAGCAGTTTCTTGTAGCAACAAAGAGATGAATGTATCATTCTCTCCTCTCTCTCTCTTTCCTCTTTTCTCTTTCCCACTCTCTCTTCTTTGTCTTCTCTCTCCTCTCTCTCCTCTTCTCTCTCTCTCTCTCTCTCTCTCTCTCTCTCTCTCTCTCTCTCTCTCTCTCTCTCTCTCGGTCTCCCTATAGCTCCAGCTGCCTTAGAAGGATTTTGCTTCTTAATCCATTCAACTAGCCTATGTCTTTTGACTATTTGAGGCCATTGATATTTAGAGTTATTATTAAAAGGTATGGATTGGTTGCTGTCATTTTATTTTCTGTTTGTGTTCTTAATCTTATTTTGTATTTCTATACTTACATCTTCATTTATTTTTCTTTCTGTAGACTTCCAGGAGGGATACTCAGGAAGCCCAAGGCAGGAAAGGGGACAGAGTCTGGAAAGTCTAACTAGCTAAGCAGAGTAAATGTGAATCCTGGTGTAGGGGACTGCAGCTGGTCCACTGGTCTGGGTGCAGTGGGAACCCTGGCCAATATTAATTGTTTATGGGAATTTTAGTGATCAAAACCTAAGTGCGTCCTGATTTTCTCCTTGCAGGTATCAGTGGTGAACCAGCTGGATATGCAGGTCATTGTCTCTAACGTGCCCCCTACACTCGTGGAGAAGAAGATAGAAGATCTCACAGAGTAATGGATTTTGTTTACTTATTAATTCATTTTCAATTGACCATAATTTTAGTTTGACTAAGCCATTTTACTTATTACAATATTCAGATTAAGTAATGATCTAAAAACAATTTCTTCATGATAATTTAGCTTATTCTTTCCCCACACTATCAAGCTTCATTAGAAGTAGGTAAAGTTTCAAGTACATTGAAATAACAGTGGAAATTAGATTTGAGGAGCTCTCATGCTTCAGAATGCTTTGATGCATTAACAAGACTTTTTAGAGCAACATAAGCAATCATAAGATGTGTCATTTGAATAAGTGCCTTTGTTGACAGTCCCAGGTCAACCACAAAGTTCATAACAGAAGCAGAGTTTTTCTATAAGAAATTATTTCTCAAAGCAGCATGTCTAAATTATGAGACCTCATCCTTTATGAACAAAAGTATGGTTAGCTATTGCAATACATATTTAATTGTTTTAAAATGCTTAGTGTTCCCTGTCTCTTTCACATTGTGTGCTCCATAATGCAGTAGTCCCTGGTCAGTGCTATGCTTTTCTCCCTTTGGGCTTTGTAATGATTATTTCATATTTAAAGGGTTTAGCATTTTAGTGCCACATGAATAGTCCGTGGGACAGAGTTATCATGATCTACACATGACAGGTAGCATCTTATCTACCTCTGTAGAAGCAGTTCATGCCTACTGAGCCCTCATCAAGCTTATCACACCCAGGAAAATGGAAAGATATCTGTTTCCTAGCTTCTTTTATGTCACTTATAGACACATGCTATCTTATAGCACTATCTGAAAAGGACGACATCCACTCTTACCTGTAACCCTTTAGTCTATTTACTTTTTTCTTGCGAAGCATTCCTAATGTGCTTGTCACACACCAACTTCCCCTATATTATAATCTCAAGGGAGGAATATGCTTTTCAGTTGTATCTGTTCAGTTTTTAGTAGACATTTGATACATTTTATTGACTGAACATGTTATACAAATAAAATCATCGTGCCCTTACTTTTATACTGAAACAAAATTTGTTAAAATGAAACTGAAAACAACAAAACAGAAGTATAAAGTCATAAGAATTTAAAACATTTACTGTTTCTTACATGAATATAATAGTATGAATGGGAAAATCATTAAGATCTTGAGATATGTGTATTGCTGTCAAAGAAGCTTTGATATTATAAGATATTGTACTTGAAACACTCTTTCCCAAACTCAGTTTTAACATCTGTTCATTAGTGAGGTTTACAAGATTATTGTGAGAACTCATTGAGGTAAGTTCATAGAAATCAATAGCACAATGTGAGTGATCATTATTTTATGTAAATTTGATTCACAGAGCAAAGTCAGTAAGTTTAGGCACCAAGAGGCCAGGCTTTTGTTCATTCTTCTAAAAGATCAAGCTTTGTGATTGAGAGCAGGTGTGTGTGTGTGTGTGTGTGTGTGTGTTTGTATAATGTTTGAGTACTATTATAGTTGTGTGACTTCTAACAATATATTTAATAGTCGAAGTTGTTCTTCCTCAACTGGGAGACTGGAATGAGGATATATTTCTTCTTGACACTTTTGGAATTATATGCTCCTTCGACAGAGTAGGTGGCATACAAAACACATACATACCTGGTTCCCTTTTATTTTTCCTCTACTAAAAATATTCTACATATCATGCTTTCCATTGTCATCATTTTAAGTATACAGTTTTACATTAAGTGCATTTACATTATTAAGCAGATTCTCATAACTTTTTCATATCATAGAACAGATTCTGTATCCATCCAACAAAAGCTTTTCTCTCCCCTTATCTTCAGATCCCTCTCCTCAATTCTATTTTCTAATGGTATGAATTTGATTTTTAACAAGTGCTGTAAGAGTAAAATTATGAGGTTCCATTTGTGATTGCTTTATTTAACTGGCCTAATGTCCTTAAGATTCAACTATGGTAGCATGTGACAGGATTTACTGAATTTTTGTTATAGGGTAATATTTTATGAAAGTAATTTTTTTCCATTTTCCTGGGGCCCCTTTCTAATTCCCAATTTTCTAACTCCTCTTGTTCTCATGTGGAATCACATATATAAAAAAATGGAAGTGAAGATTCACCTATGAGAGAGAACATGTAGCATTTGTCTTTCTGGGCTTGGTTACCTCACTTAGTGTGTTTTCCAGTTCTAACCATTTTCCTGCAAATGATTCCATTTTACTTTAGGGCTAGATAAAATTCCATTGTGTATGTGTACCACGTTTTCATTATCCATTCATAGATGGACATTTAGGCCAGTACTGTTTCCTACCGTTTCTTTGGAGTGAGTAGGACAGCAGTAAAAATAGATGATTCTTCTAGTGGGACATAGAGTCCTTTGGATATATGTGCAGGAGTGGGATAACTGGGTTATATGGCAGCCCCATGTTTAGACTTTTTCAAAATCTGCACACTGATGTCCCTAATGGGTTCACCGGCTCATAATACCAGAGTGAATAAGGGTTCTTCTTTACAATATTTTTTTCTCATTTGTTTCTTGATGATAGCCATTTTGCAGTGGTGAGGTAGAATCTCATTGTAAAGTTTATTTGCGTTTCCCTGCTGACTAACCGTGTTGAATACTTTAAAAAATGATTTCCATTTGTATTTGTATTTCTTCTAAGAATTATCTGTTCTGCTCCTCAGCTTATTTTTCTTTGGGTTGTTTTCTAATTGTTTACTTTTTTGAGTTCTTTGTACATTCAAGATAAGGATCCTGTATATGTATAGCTGATGTCTTAGTTACGTTTCTGTTGCTGTGTTAAACATTTTGACCAAGGGAACTTATAGAAATAATAGTTTATGTGAACTTGCAGTTCCAAAGGAGCAAGAGTCCCTCATGGTGGGGAGGCATGGTGGCAGATGAGGTGGGAGTAGAAACCAGAACACTCACACTTCAAGTAGGCACAGGAAACGGAGCTGCTAGAAATCTGGCAAGGCCTAAGCACCTCTAAGCCTTCCCCCAGTAACATGCTTTCTTTAGCATGGTGAGGCCTCCTAAAGCCTCCCAAAATAGCACCACCAAGTGGGGACAAAATGTCCAAATACTTGGGGGGCATTCTCACTCCAAGCACCACAGTTGAGTAAGATTTTCAAACTTCTATAAGCTGCCTCTTTATTCAATAAAAGTTGCCCTTTTATTTACAGACAATTCTTTGTTTCACGAGGTCCCGTTTGCCCATATTATTTCCTGTGCTACCAGAGGCTTGTTTGTTTGTTACCGTGAAGATTTTTTTCCCTGTAATATACTTTGTTGATATATTTGGAGTCACTTTTCTTCATACTTTTACATGTAGATACCTGTTTTTCCAGCGACATTTGTCTCTTTTCCAGTGAGTGATTTTGACAACTTTGTCAAAAATTAGGTGACTGTAGGTATGTGGGTTTCTGTCTGGGTCTTCTCCATTCCATGATCTACATGTTTGTTTTTTGCTTGCACCTTCTGTTTGTACATGTACATGCTGTTTTAATAACCATGGCTCTTCAGTATAATTTGAGATAAGATACCCCCATTATGGTTCTTTTTGCTCAGGGTTTCTTTGCCTATCTGGGATCTTTTGTGTGCTTGCAATGAATTTTAAGATTGTTTTTCTATTTTTGAAGAATGGTTTTGGTATTTTGATGAGTGTTGAATCTGTAGATTGCTTTTGATAAGATGATCACTTTTGCAATATTGATCTTGCTAATCTAAGACCATGGGATATCTTTTTTAAATTCTCAATATGATTATGTTCCAGATGAATAGATATCATCATCATATAATGCAAATAATTCCTGATCTAAGCATGTGAGGAGATTGCCACCTCAGAGATGAGGGAACTGATATATTTTCAGCATATGTCAAGTGTTTTATAAGCATAGTTTTATTTAGTCACTCAGCATTGCTATGGGGTGGATATCATATAACCCCATTTTTTCAGATGAGGGAACTAAGATACAGGAAGGTTAGGTAACTTCTCTGAGATCACATAAATAGTATGTGATTGAGCTGGAAATTAACCTTAGGTCATCTATCCACAAATCCAGTGTTCTGTCTTCCCACCACACCTTTGCCAGAGGCCCACAGAATCATAAGAAACCCAGCAGAGTCAGCACAATGCACACAGGCCTTATCCATAACTGCACATAACCCATACCAGCCAGTTGAATGTGTCAGCCCCACACAGCCCCAGGAAAGGAAGTACAATCTCTGCTCAGGAACTCCTACAGAACAAGCTTTGACAGAACACAGCATCAAACCACGATCTTTTTAAAATTAATATTAATTTAATAGTCATATGTTTGGATCAAGTACCCCTTCGCTCCCTCCCCTCCAGTCCCTCCCGTGTTCTCCCCACCATTTCTCTCCCGACTTCTTGTTCCCTGCCCCACTCTCTTTTTTAAAAATACCCACTGACTCCACTTATGTGCCTGTATGTGCATGAATATAGGACCATCTGCTGGAGCATGGGTAGCCTCTCAGGGAACACATTGCTAAAGAAAACTGACCCCCCCCAAGAAGCCATCAATTGCCAATCGATTCAAAATCTTGACTACAATACAATTAGCAGTTGGCATCACCCCCCAAAAAAGGCAGTTTCCCTAGATTTGGGTATTATTATGTCATCCCTTAACTATAATTTTATGTAGCCAATAATTTGATTTCCTTTTCTTTCTATTATATTCACAGTTATACATGTATATAAAGAATTCAATTTACAGCCAGGCATGGTGACATACTCCTTTGAATTAAGGCAGCTGGATCTCTGTGAGATTAAGGCCAACCTAGTCTACATAGTAAGTTCCAGGCCAGCTGGGGCTAGAGAGAGACCCAGTCTCAAAACAGAAAAACAAAAAAGATGCAAATATTTTATAGCCTAGGTGCTATAGTATGTATATAATTCTTTTCTTTTGTGTTTCCCTGGAGTCAGTTTTGCAAAGTATCCTACCACTAATTTAATCCCCAATTCTCCATCAACTATTTTGACCTTTTCCTTAAAATAGCCCC